CCGGTGGCTTAGGGCTGCCGGCGCAGGCCGGGCCGGTAACGTGTGCTTCCCCCGCAGGCTGCAGCAGGAGCTCATGGCACTGATGGTGAGTGGGGTCCCCGGGGGTCCCGGGGTTGGGGGCGGTGTCCCGGGACGCCCTTATGCTCTGCCCCTCTGCCCCAGATGTCCGGTGACAAAGGCATCTCCGCCTTCCCCGAGTCTGACAACCTCTTCAAGTGGATCGGGACCATTGACGGCGCCGCTGGCACGGTGAGAACCGGGGGTGGGCCTGGGTCCCCTTGCTCTCCCCGGGCTGAGGGTGGTCTCTGTCTTCCCCGTACCCCCCTGGGCTGTGTTACCCTCCACTCTGACTCCTGCCCCCAGGCCTACGAGGAGCTTCGGTACCGGCTGTCGCTGGAGTTCCCTCCTGGATACCCTTACACAGCACCCACTGTGCGGTTCCTGACCCCCTGCTACCACCCCAACGTGGACACCCAGGGCAACATCTGCCTTGACATTCTCAAGGACAAGTGGTCGGCGCTCTACGACGTCCGCACCATCCTGCTCTCCATCCAGAGCCTGCTGGCAGGTGAGTCTTGGGGGGAGGGGAAGCTTTAGGGTCTGGCCCATCTGTCCACTGACCCAGCCCCTCTCCCCAGAGCCCAACATCGAGAGCCCTCTGAACACACACGCGGCCGAGCTCTGGAAGAACCAAACTGGTGAGTGCTTGGGGCAGGGGTCCAGGGTGGGCAGCACCGCAGCTCCCAGCCCCGCTGTGTCCACTGCCCCCCCAGACCCTCAGCCCAGCTCCCCCCTTTCTCCTTAGCCTACAGGAAGTACGTGCGGGAGACGTACGCCAAGCAGGCCAAGAGCCAGGAGACCTGACCCGCGCCACTGCCCCCGTCACACCGGGGTCTGCCCGCTCCCCCACCCCCTCCTCCTGGCGTTCTGTACCATAGGCTGTTTTTAATTTAATTAAGTCCGGGTCACGGTTAATGTATAAATAAATGCATGTTTATAACTTTTCTGCTGGGGTTTTGTTGCAGCTCAGCACCCCACAAAGGCTCTGTGGGGTTACCACAGGGCAGGGGCAGCACCCAGCATTTCCTGCCTGGGCAGGAGGGTACACAAGGCCTCATCTCCTGCTCTGTGATGCCTGAGCAGTGACGTCCCCGGCGCTACCCCTGCTGTGGTGCCGCTGGTCCCTGCTGGCTGCGTGGCCTCCACTGCCCACAGCGGGATGTTGGCCCTGCTCTCCATCTCTGCCAGCGTGGCCCTCACCTGCTCGATCTCCTCCTCCAGGTCTGGGGTGGCTGGGGGCTGCACGAGGACCCCCCCTCGCTGGCCTGCCAACCCCGTGCACAGTGGGGCTGTGCCGCCACCCTGCCTGGAGAAGAGCTGGCAGAGGTGGTGGGCTCGGTGCAGGTCCTGCAGGAAGAGCTCCAGGGCAGAGAGGAAGAGCACCCAGAGCCGCTCCAGC